TGGCCACCTTAAGGGCTAGTTCACACCAGCCACAGTACGTTCTGACCCGATTGGATCGCATTCAATGCACATCGATGCCTGCGTTCCGGTCCGTTCAGTCAGACAAAATTGTGCTTGCAGCATTTATTCTGACCAGAACGCAGGCATTGATGTGCTATGTGTTCCCGTGCGGCTGATCGCACTACGGCCGGAGGGCGAGGCTGCGGTGCCATTGAGTTCAATGCACCGCCATGCCCCCTCCCGCCCCAACACAAAGTGAGCTGGCCGCAATGCGATCCAGTGCATTCCGTACCAATTGGGCCAGAACGCACTGTGGCTGGTGTGATCTAACCCCTTAACTGTAAATATTGGCCCTAGAATTATTGCTCTCACTATGTCGTACGTGGTGATGCCGAATATGTGTAGTGCAATTGCCATTTTTTTTGTACATAGGCGTACCCAGTGCGTGTTTACATAAGTATGTTCACAAGGGCAGGGGACTTTAAAAAAAAAAATGTTTTGTATTTTTACATTTTTTATTTTACTTAATTTTTTTAACTTTTTTTAAATTAATTGCTTTCCAATAGGGGGGTGCTCACAAGCCCTGTATGTGATAGCATATTAGGTGGTGACAGGTTCTCTTTAAGTGTTACCCCAGTGTCACCTTTCCACTGCAAAAAAGCTATTGGAGCGCAGATTGTGCTTGAATAGCTTCGTCCCCGTCTTCTCTAACTGAGGAATCACAGCTGAGGGACCGGACGTGATGCAATCTGAACGTAAACACCTCCCCATACCCTGGGCAGCAACAGCCATGTGAATGAGCCCTTGCTCCCTGTTCGCACCTCCTGTGTACTGGGAATGCACGGTGCATTGAAGCATGTTTTTTCACATGTTTACTGTGCTTCGCCCATTGATTTCAATGGCTGCCACACACACAACAAACGCAGGACAGATCTTATTTAGCAGATTCTGCTACAGGTGTCCCGCAGTTTTTCTTCCACATGTACAGTCCACGTGTGGGAAATACGGGCATTTTTCCAGCTGCGTTTGGGATGTGCTTAACAAGTAATGGTACCTCAAATGTGTTGCCTCTTTTTGATGCGTTTTGGGAGCTTGCATCAAAGCACACGCATGGCGCGGGTTCACGTAATGTAAAGGTGTGAACAGGGACTTGCCCTGGGTGAAGTGTTTATTGTTGCAAAATGGGAGGGTCTAGGTTTTGCCTCGGTATACACATTAGAGAATAACTCCGGGCATTTAAAAAATGAACACTTGCAGTGGGGCTACCCCCGCACTGCAAGAGTTAAGTGCTCGTTTTGGTCTAAAATAAAAAAAGATATACTCACCCTATGCTTGGTCCGTGCAGCCTCTTTTCCCTGGGCTCCGGCAGTCTAAGCCTCGCTGACATCATCACATCTATGCAAGGTCCATTCATTTGCATTAGACATGAGGACACGGAATGGGAAGGGTGGTGACCGGTCACTGCCACAGGATGGAGGATTGGGTGAGTATATCTTCCTTATTCCGTTCCCCTGACCAAAACGAGCAATTAACCCTTAACCCTTGCAGTGCAGGGGTAGCAAGTTTGAAAATCCTGGCGATCTGCTTTCAAATAAAAAGCGCACATAAACTGATGTCAATGTGCATGAAAACACACTGAAACACGCGTGTAAACCCGCATCTCTACACATCAAACCGGCATTTTTTTTCGGAGCCCCCCTTTAAACACCTGAGCATTTTTCTGCACGTTTCCTAAAGCGTGACAATGCTTAATATGAAGAATCCTGTTAACTTCAATGATGCCCATTCACATCTGAGCTTTGTGTCATCTGTGTCTCTGCACGGGGTACCAAACTTTGTCCTTCTAGCAGTTGTGGAACTACAAGTCCCATAAGGCACTGCAAGACTCTTACAGCCACAGGCATGACTCCCAGAGGCAGGTGCATGATGGGATTTCTAGTGTCACATCAGAGTTTGGCTGCCCCTGCTCTACATATGCCGGTGCCATTCTGCATTCATTGCTGTATAATTTTACACTTTTCATTTCACTATATTGCACACCACACTTTTTTTTCTTTTTAACTTCCACCGCTCCAAGCTTGCTCCTGTGATAGACTACAATCTCAATACAAACTAGTAGTCCCATCACTGGAGCCATTTTTTAAAATGTATTTTATGTCTTATCCGATTAAGCGATTAATCGAACTTAATAATCGGCTAACTAATCGATTTTGAAAATAATCGTTAGCTGCAGCTCTACATAATACATGATCATTTTTTGGGCAGAATCGTACATTTGTGGTTCCATAGACTTCAGTGAAAGTGTCATTTCCTCGCAAATTTACACCTAACAACCCTCTCCTCCTCCTAGCCAATAGAAAGCCAGTTACTGAAACAAAACTGCTCAAGCCTAAAAACCGTGTTCAAAAAGAAAATATGTTTAAAAAGTATGATCGGGGTGTGAGGGCGGTCGGACGTTGAAGTCTTCGAGGCGCCTGTGTACAGTGAACCAAGAACACCATGACAAGGCTGCAGACAATATTCACTGCTGTTCACCCCAACTACTGTCCCCAGCAGAGCTAAGTCTTCAAGAATTTCAGAGCACAAGGCATGCTGGGAATCAGTCTCATGTTCTTAAACTTATATCAGGTGGCTTAACCTATCACGGGGTAATTCACAGCCCAGCACTCAGCTCTGTTCTGGGAAATAAAAAATTCTATGAATTCAAGAAGAGGAAGTCGGTTTTTCCCAGAAGATCACATGATCGCAGTATATAAAGCCAAATCAGGGCCAGTACTGGGAGGGGAGGCTGCAATTGGCTGAGAGAGGCTGGGTGCAGGTGACTGTCACTGGCAGAGAGAGACTGGGTGCAGGCGACTGTCACTGGCAGAGAGAGAGACTGGGTGCAGGTGACTGTCACTGGCAGAGAGAGAGGCTGGGTGCAGGCGACTCATTGGCGGATAGAGGCTCGGTGCAGACGACTGCTATTGGTGAATGCTGAGTGCAAGGTAAGGTCTTCTATCACTCATGCTATGTCTTGCTATGATTATAGTTCTGGCTGCACAGTAATGAGGGTGTAGATAAAATCCAACACTAACAATCAATACTCACAGTCACTCACCTGCAACAAGCATGCAGCAAGTGAAAGCAGAAACTCTGTTCTGATTTAGAAACCCTATCCTAGGTTTGTGGAAAAGGCACCGCACACATTCATATGCCCAAACCATCAGTCCCATCCAAAAGCCTGGGTGCCGGCCGACAGAGGGACACCACAGCCATCACCAGTAATCCAATGTATGTAAAGCCGCACTCAACAGCCAGGACCTCAATGTAAAAAAAGTTTATTCCCAGGAATCTACAATGCAGCAAGCATGACCAGATCCACAGGCTCTGCCATGTTTTAGCGAAGGGGCTTGATCAAAGACAGGGGCGTCCCATTGCCGGGTGTCACCCAGAGCATGAATATTCTTTTTTCAGTGCATTCCTGTGGAGCATTTATGCACTTTTTTTTTTACCTGTTTTCTTGCGTTTTTCTTTAGGCCAATGGCGAGCGGTATCTGCTCTTTATTTCTAATGCTGACATTATTAGCCATAATCTTCCATTTAGGACACTTTCAGCACACAAAAAACACATCAAAAGCACATGTACATTTTCATACATTTCCATTGATGGGGCCAAATAACGCACTGTGCAACACCCAAAGAAGAACCAGCACCTTTCTAAAAATCGCACTGCACCATGCTGAATTCATGTGAACAAGTACCATTTAAAAATAATAGGGAACAGACAGTGACTGGAGCAGTTGTCCGTAGCAACCAATCAGCTTCTTTCTCTCATTTTCATACTACTATTGAACTCACCTGAACTTTATAATTGCTTTTGAATTCACATGATGACTCATCACTCTTACTGATATTTTTGAGCTAATTTGCTGTTAACCACTTTTATTAATTTTTGTACTTGATACACGTGTGATTACAACAAAAAATGTTATTAAGGTATAGTTAATTTAATTTATCCTAATGCACTTTTGCACAAAGTGAAATTCATATTATATATTCATAATTTTGGTTCACTGGTTATCACTTTAGTATACCTTTTATGATTGCAAACACTCATTCAGATTTTGATCACATGTTGTTTTGCTAACACCTATTTTATTCACTTATTGGTGACCCCGAGCGCTGCACACCCATCCATATACAAAACAAGCACTTAACTCTGCAGTGCAGGAGTAACCCGGACTGCAAGGGCTTCAAAGCCTCTGCAAGGGTTAACTGCCTATTTTGTCTAGGGTCAAACCAAAAAACAAGTTATACCTGATCCTTGAAGCCAGCTGGCTCTTAGACCAGTCCCTGGACTGGAGCCTCTCTCCCCCACCGCTGCAGCGGTCTAAGGTCCCTGAGTCATCACGTCCAATAGACTGTGTATAAGACATGAGGACACCAAGGGACATATCACTGCAGCAGGGGAGGAGACAGGCTGGAGGGAGTGCTGCCAGTACCGAGGATCGGGTGAATAAACCTTTTTTTTTTAACCCTAGACAAAAACTGACATTTAACCCTTGCATTGCGGGGTAGCCCCACTGAAAAGGTCAATCAAATTTCTGCCCAGAGTTCTTTTTTAAAGGACATCCGTCATTGGAGAAATGAAAGGGCTGCCATTACTGGTCCTGAAAAAACGGTTCCTGTCATGCTGACGGACATTCTTCAGTGCTTTCTGATTCTCTGTCTGAAATGACTTTCTCTCTGCTCGTTGGGTCAGTGTCTTAAAGCATTGAAGACAGAGATAGTGACAGAGATAGTCAGGCATTGGTTCCAGTGATTTCCACTAATGCTGCCGGATTTCGAGTACATGTAGCTCAGCGTCTGTGGCTTCTACAGAATAGGAAGCAAATATGCAACCACAGCAAAACTGTGTCCTGTTCATGTGACCCTTTGTTATACGTTAATCCAGCCGGGGAACTAGAAGGAAGCAGATCATTACAAACTCCAGCTTGGTGAGTGTTTTACTTGGCTGTGAGAGGTCAACTGCCTGCATATTGTCCAGACTCTTCTCTGCTAGTCACCCGGTAAGAAAGGGGTACACAGGCATATGGTTGAAGCAGACACTTTTGGGGAGATACCTTTCTTCTTCCTGGGGTGTTCCTGACCAGAAATGAATGCTGCTGTAACTTTTTAACTTTCCTTGCTATATTTTCTTGAGAATGCCGTTATGCCTTTTAGACTTTCTTTACTCTTCTCCATGCTAGCATTGGTGGGCACAGAACTGGGGAGTCCAGACGCCTGTAGAGCTGTATATCTGGGTGCCAATATCCTTAGGTAACCCAATCCAGAGCACGTTGGCATCAAATCTTGTCCATAACACTATGCAGTTGTACTAATTTGACATAGAGCCAACGGGGCTCTGCAACATGATTGTGTCCTTGAACAGGGTGGAGAAGCTAATACAAACAGAAGAAAAGTTGGCCGCACACCAGATCCCGCTGGGATACTTTATTGAAACTTGTAGCACATCACTGGTGTCCCACGCAAGGTTCACCCCTTCTGACATGTTTCACCCAATCACGGGCTTAGTCATAGAGATGAGGGCAGACCAGGGTAGGCTGTGCTTTATACCATCAATTCATATGCCTGTCATTACATGGTAACACAATTAAATGGGGACCAGAGTGGTGGAGCTTACGGTACTTGAAATTTGCAGTAAGTCTTTCTTTAGATGAGCCATTCATAGGCTGAAGGGCTCGGCGGTGTGCAGTATTTCTAATTGTTTAGTAGCACAAGATTAACCTCTAGGAATACATCAGTTTCAGCACATTGAATCAATGTCTGGCTAAACGAGGCATTAGTCAGCAAGGGGTAAATCTCATGCTACTAAGCAGTTATAAATCTAACATGTTACATCATCATTCCCCACCCCTATTGTGATGTATAGCTGCAGGGCGGGGAATGCACCTCTCTGCAACTGATTGGGTTAGGAGAAGGGGGTGGCAGTCAGCTTTGAGCAGGCTTGGGCGAACCGATGCAAAGAGGGTTCACACCAAGCTCAGACTCATCACTACATAGAGGTGCACCGAAATGGAAATTTTAAAACCGAAATAAAAGAAATTGTCAAACCGATACCGAAAATGTTTTTTATTTTAATTTTTTCAATTTTTTAAATATTTTATTTCTTTTTTATAAACTTTGTATTTTTGTATAGTTATTTTTATTTATTCATTTTTTATTACATATTTTTATTTTTTACTTTTAGGGGCTTTGGGGAAATATTGGGGGTCTAAACAGATCCCTGATATTTCCCTTTAAAAATAGAAAAAGAGATTGAGGACACAAAGTCCTCTATCTCTTTTTCTGTGTCCCCTGTATCAATGAACAGGAACACTCATAGAGGATTCCTGTTCATTGATAACATGAGGACATTGTATGTTTACTATAACTATGAATGAATAGGAGGTCAGCGATCACTGAGTGTTTGTACCTTGCTCTCCTCTCTGACACGCTGTCACAGGAGGCTGATCAAGCGGTGTAGGGAGGAGAGCTCAGCCTCCTGTGACAGCGCGGCCTGTCTCCGCCCACACACCGCTCTGCCGGACGGTGATAGGAGGCTGAGCGGTGTGGGAGGAGGGACGCCGGCCGCTCACAGCGCCCTCCTCTTGCAGCGCTCGGCAGGCTGTCACAGTTTCTCTCCTTCCCGCTGGGACACAGAGCAGCGCCCAGCAGGGAGGAGAAAAACCACGGATGCACCGCTGTATCGGCAGGAAAATTGCACTTTCGGCATTATGCCAAAAGTGCCATTTTCGGCAGCCAATGTATCGGTGCATCCCTATCACTACAATAAACAATACATTTCCTTTACTCCTTTCCTGACTGAGCCAAATCCTCCTTCATTTGTGTCTCACACACTCCCCTCCCAGACACTGCAGATAACAGTGGGAGGGTTTCAGCTGCAGAGGCAGTGCGATCAATCCACGAAGCAGTGGGCAGGACTAGGTGTGGCCAGGTGCTGATTGACAAGCGATAGGCTTTTAAATCCATCACAATGATAACTGTAGTGGAAGCAGGCACAGCTTACATGAGTGGCAACTGCTCTGAATACAGGAGCAGTGCAGCATTGTTGCCTCACCATCACAGGAAGCTGCATTAAGTGGACTTGACTGGCGCAATCAACAGCTATTTTGGGGACTTTGCATTGGAAGTAAGAGAAAACTGAAAGGCAGATGCACTTATAATTAAGTGCTGCAGCACATATGTTTTTAAGGGAAGCCTTTTAGTGGTTCAGACAGTGTGTGCTTTAGTGTTTGGGCGGTTGGGGCACTGATAGCTCCAGTGTCTGCTTTGGAAGAAACAGACACTGGAGCTATCATTGGTAAGTGACACTATTGGCCTTTTAGGAAGATTATTTCATGCAGCTTGTTAACATTTATACTAGTTTGATTTCTTGTGCTTTTTAAATCTTGGTCACCATGGCTCGCCGACCTCATATAAATAAAAAAACAAACAGATCAAATGTTTTGTGCAAAATAAATATTGTAGCATGCAGGTAATAATCCATAAAATTTAGGGGGACCAATGGTGTTAAACAAGGCGTTTGTACTAAAGTATCATCTTGCAGATGCTGCAGTGCCGTCCGTCCGTTTTTTTACTACGGGCGGACGGCAAGAGGTTAATATCTATAAACAATTTTCAGAGCCATTCGCCCTGCGAATCTCTGAACGTTTGTTCTGTGCCATTGGAGGCAAAACCAAATGTTCTTAGTATATTTTCTTTTCAGGTCGAATGTAATGTAATACAGTATCAATGGACACTAGATGGCGCCGAGGAGCATAAGAAATAAGTATTTATCCTATGCTCCTCAGCTCCATCTAGTGGCCATAATGAACCTCCACGGAAATTCACAGGGCAAATGCCTGTGTGGATTGTTTATAAACAGACTCATTTGTGTATTGAGTCCAAAACTGACCTTTGATGAGCACTCATTAGTGAGCAGTGATTAAAGGGTAACACCACTCAGAAATTATGGATGGGCATTAACAAGCTGGATCACTTCTCAGCTTCATAGTGTTTAACCACGTTTGACATTTTTAATCACCTTTTATGAGAATGACCTCTGACCGGTGCCTCATTTTAGGCTCACTGATGTCAGTGCATCAAAAATTCATTTGACTTCCTGCTAATATTCACGTGTAGTTGAGACTGTCTAGATCTTCAATACACCAATTGCAAGAATTCTCCACTGCAGTTTTGTCTCTGCTCTTTGCCTTCATGTGTATCTTCTGCAGAGGCTGTGCTGGAGAATAAATGACTGCATACATCTTCCGCACGAATGAGTCATGGTAGAAGATTGTACTTATTTGTTTCTTGTCATCATTTCATACACAGGGTCATGGCGCTAGCTGGGAAAAAGCTGAGGGGCCTTGTAGCTGCGACCTTCACTCCAATGACCAACGGGTAAATATGAAATGAATCGGATACTTTATTTGTAGAATTCTTGTGGCCAAGTTTCCTGCAAGCCTGTGTACAATAGAAAGGACGACTGTTGAAGCATTCACCATGAAAAAAAAATCATCAAATTATTATTATATTTTCTAATTCCTATTCCTTTTTCCTATTTCAGAAATGATGTCAACCTCTCTGTCATCCAGGATTATGTAGATTTTCTGGTTCACAAACAAAATGTTAAGAATATATTTGGTGAGTCTGTCTGTTAAAGGGTATCAATGGTCAAAACTTCAAAACATTATGTACTTCTATCAGGGATGCACCAATACCGATATTTTTTTTTCCGGTACTTGCCGATACCGAATACAGAGTACAGGAATTCCCATTCAGGAACCCTCGCGGCGTGTAATGAATCGCCACCTGGCTTCCTGATTAGCCGGGCAGCGTGTAAAGGAAGGTGAAAAGAAAGCATGGAGCCGGCTTTCTGGCAAATCAGGAAGCCGGGTGCGGTGTAATGACGTGGCGCCCAGCTTTCTGATCGGCCGGGAAGCCGGCTCCATGCTCCCTCATCATGAGGTGACGAGGGAGCAGGAAGTCGGCTTCCCAACCAATCAGGAAGCCAGGCAGCGCGTCATTACAGGCTGCCTGGCTTCCTGATTGGCCGGGAAGCCGGCTCCATGCTCTCTCGTCACAGTGTAATGACGAGCTGCCCGGCTTCCTGATACCGGAAGTATCGGGCTAGGCATCGGAGCATTTGGGCGAGTATGAGTACTCACCCAAATACTCAGCATCGGCACCGATACTAGTTCTATCGCATTCCTAATGCCCGTATCAATCTAGAAGTTTGTAAACTTGACTTATTGAAGATGCCCATAGGATGGACTTCCTCAATGCACTGACACAATTTCACTCAGCCCTGTTAATATGCTCTTCCTTATGTCACCACTATCAGACCCTGTCTGCTGAACTACAACTCAACATCTGAACAATGTAACACTATCATTGCTTGCTGAAAGCAATGCATTATGGGATATGTAGTCTTGAGAAATCGAGATTACAATCACATCAAGCAGCAGGGAAAGTGGTGCAAAGCACCCTGTGAATACAGGAAGTTAATGAAAGTGATGGGCACGCAGAAGGCAGCACTCACTACATAAAAGGAATTTTTTCAAGTAAGCTTTGATTATATTATCAACAACAACTCTAGAATGTATTCCTATGACAATGCTGATGTTATAACAGGATAGTTGTCATTCTGCCATCAATGGGTTAAGTTAACTTTAATAACTTTCCTGGCTTCAGCCTGCTTGCTGTGTTTACTGTAAAGCATTTAGCAGCTCGCTGTATACTTTCCCTTGAAGTGCTCTGGAATACACTTTCCCAAACTCATTCTCCAGTCCCTGTGCCTATGCCAGTACAGGACACGTTTGGGAGCATCGTGTTTAATATGGTTTTGTTTTTTTTTGTAGTTAAGTTTGTAAATGGGAAGAACCCCTTTCCCCTCCTGGCTGGGCTGTCTGTCTTGTGTGTAAATTACAAAAGTGGCTGGACAGAATTACAAATCATTTGGCTGATGTTCACATACTGAATGTATATTTTAACTACACTATAGTGCCAACAGTATTGGGACGCCTGCCTTTACACGCACATGAACTTTAATAGCATCCCAGTCTTAGTCCGTAGGGTTCAATATTGAGTTGGCCCACCCTTTGCCGCTATAACAGCTTCAACTCTTCTGGGAAGGGTGTCCACAAAGTTTAGGAGTGTGTCTATGGGAATGTTTGACCATTCTTCCCGAAGCGCATTTGTGAGGTCAGGTACTGATGTTGGACGAGAGAGGCCGGGCTCGCATGTGCGCTTCAGCATGCGCTAACCCCGCTCTGTCATTTTACGTGGCCTTCCACTTCGTGGCTGAGTTGCTGCTGTTCCCAGTTGCTTCCATTTTGTTATAATGCCACTAACAGTTGACTGTGTAATATTTAGTAGCAAGATATTTCACGGAATACCTGAATCCAATGATTTGGAGGGGTGTCCCAATACAATATAGTGTATGTGTTTATCGAAGTTCACCTAAAAAAAAAAGGGCTTTAGTTTTGACTACTTTAGTTACCAATAGTGTGTAACTATGAGAAACATTTAGTTACATTTATTAACGTTTAAACTGTTTGACTAATTTAAATCAGGAAAGCCAGGGCCCGTTGGATACACTTTTGTAAACTAGGATTGTTGTATTCATTTGCGTTTCCATATTGTATTATGCAGTAAATGGAACAACAGGAGAGGGAATGTCACTGAGCATACATGAGAGGAAGCAGCTGGCTGAAGAATGGGTGAAGCATGCGAGAGGCAAGTAAGTAGCCCAGCAAAATGGTATATCTTCCATTAAATGAGAGCTGGCCAATGCCAGGGAGCTGTTGTGCCTGCAGTATAAAAGCTGATGTATCCATTTTGTAATCTTTGTCAATGGAAGCATAGCATCTCTGGCTTTAAACATGCCTGCTGACTAATATAAATGAGACTATGTGACTTAAATTTTTTCTGTGCAGCCTTGCATTAAAGCCACACAACAAATGATAACGTACACACTGCTCTGGGTGTGCAACTTATCATTGAAAAGCTGGTTGTAATGTGTAGAGGGTAAAAAAACATGTACCATGCAGCATGCCGTCTCCTGAACGTAACATCGAGCTTCTGGGTACTTTGGAGAGGGAAATGTGACTCAAGCAGTGAAGTACTCTGGTCACCTCACCCCCCGCCTCACCATTGCCCATTCACAAAATGTCTTGTCGTTTTTCAAAGAAATACAAGGCATTCTGTGATTGGAGTAGGAGAAATGATGTCCCCCACCTCCTGCCCTCCTCCAATCACAGACTGCCTTGTATTTTTGTACCTGGAAGCTTGGTGTTTTGTGCAGGAGATGGCACGCTGCAAGGTAAGTTTTTAATACTTTGCTGCTTGTGAGAATACCTGAACAGTGACTACGGCTGATTTGTGCAGTCACTATTTGGCTGACAATTTTCCAGCCGGCTCCTTCAACTAAGTTGACTGAAAAATTGACTTTTGTTGGCCAGGTGGTACCAGCAGGGCCACTCACAGATCGTACAGATGACATTTTCAGCAATTCAGCAGGAAACAGACAAAATGTGATTTGTATATAACCAGGGAATGCACATTAAGTTCCCCCTTATTGAGGCTCGGGTGCACAATGTGTATGCTAGGCTTCTAGATTGTTCAGCATAGAAATTCTACATACATTGTCCAGTCCTGGTTTTCTTAATCTGAAAAATATGCAATGGCTTTCGGTTAGTAAAGCTATACCACCAGATATGATTCAATTCATTTTTGAACAACATTATCAGGTTGTAAGGCTTCTTTTTTTAAAGGATATTGTATAATGAATGTATTTTCCTTTTCTAGAATGCATAATGTGATTGTGCATGTTGGTTGTCTCAGCCTGGAGGACTCAAAGGATCTTGTGAGTTCTATTTTATATTTGACCCTTGATATAAATGTTTTTATTCTGGCTTATAAAATTCACCCACCCATAATTGTATTATTATTAATATATTATTATTTATTATTATTATTATAATGTTTATATTTTTGTTAAGAATAACAACAACAATAATAATATTTTATGTAGTTCTATTTTTTAGCACTGCCATAGTACAGTATTTTCACTCAGCCTCATAATCTGAGCCGACCTGTGACAATGAAACTGTCACAAGTCGGCTCAGTAGATCGGGAAGTGAGCGAACACATACCATCGCTCGCTCACTTCTCTATCTATCCCTGCAGAGAGCTGTGACTGTCACTCACGGCTCCCTGCAGGGATTCCCCGCTCCAATCCTCCAGCGATGACTGGAGAAACGGATGGGGGAGGGGGCGGGCACAGCTGGCTCTGCCTCTGGATAGGCAGAGCCAGCTGTCAATCCCGCAGCTGGGTGGATCCAGACAGTATTGTGGGGATCCGCCCCGGCTGCGGCGTCTCAGTATACATTATACTGAGCTTTGGGTCACGGGAGAACGCTGTTCTCCCATGACCATTAGGAGAACTATGGGGAAAAGCCCTGACCCAAGAGTTCTCCTTTAAAGAGAAGATGGCTGTATTATTGTGGCCTTATCCTCTGAAGGAGCTCACAGTGAAATAGCACTTTTAAACCTTTCAAATCCTCTTCTGTGCTCATGGGGACCTCATTTGACTGTACACGTGTTAAACTTAGAGTTAAAAAGTTTGCGTGTGGAATTCTTTTGATGACTGGTATATCATATAATATATATATATCACCCTAGTCTCTAGCACACTTTTTATGCTGCGGCTGGCCATACACATACATTGTCAAAAGTTCTAAACCATTTTTTGTGCCACGGTAGTTATTTCACCACATTTGAAATGGGTACAGTTGCAGCCGAGAAATTTGCGAGAGGGGGTTTCATAGACCAAGGGTAGTCAACCTTGGCACTCCAGCTTACTTCATGCCTCTGGGAATCCTGTCTGTGGCTGTCAGTCTTGCAGTGCCTCATGGAACATGTAGTCCCACAACAGCTGGAGTGCCAAGGTTCCCTACCCCTGTCATAGAGCCTTACAATAAATGAAATGGGTTCAGATTTGCAGCACCTGGTATAGAGCGAAGGTGATGGATCTTACTTGTAGATGTATGTCAGTGTCCATTTTACTTTAATGTTTTGGCTGTCTTTTATCGTTGTCATTCATTTAGGCTGCTCACGCGGCTTCCTGTGGAGCTGGTGCAATTAGCGCTGTGAGTCCTTGTTTTATCAAGCCATCCAGCCAAGGTAAATAAAATACGTGTCTGTGTCACCTGGTGCCTTGGCTGCTGTCATATGTATATTTATGGGTTCTACTGCATTTACAAAGATTGTTGTAAGGAATGGTTCTTTGTGCTGCTGTGGTCGATTGCAGGTTGAATTTGCATGGTAATGATAAATCTTTTGCCAGTGTTCAGTGGCCCAAATCCCTGTAGTTGTTGGTAGCCACCCTCTGAATGGCAGTACATTTATATAAAATGTAGGCCAGTGTGCATTCTGAACGACCTATCTAAGCTCACTTCAGCATTACACAAAAAGCTCTATTCCTTTGAGAAGTCTAAGTAATATGACTGGAGGAGTTGATATAGACTCAGGTGAAAGGTAAATTGGGTGGTCTTTCTGGCTTTAGCATGGCTGCATTGTTTCCTGAATTGCATTAGACTTCCACTGATTGACTTTTCTGTTTGGTTAAAGCTGCACTTAATGTTTCCTTTTCAACATACATTTTCTAGATGCCTTGGTCCAGTACCTTAAAGAAGTGGCCGCTGTTGCACCCAGTCTCCCCTTTTACTACTATCACATTCCGAGCCTAACTGGTTTGAAATGTAAGTACGAATGAAAATGAAATGTAAGTATCAATAAACAAAGGGGATGATTCAGAGTGGTCGCAGACTGCATACTGAAGTTTTTATTGTAGTTCTCTAAAGTAGAACTGGAGCCACAACAGAAAGTGAGGGAAAACCCTGGTGGCCCATCTGGGTCACCAGAACTAGTGTCCCCCTAGGAACATTCCCCATCTATTCCTGCTCTGATGACAGCCCAGACAAAAAGAGTGACTTCCCTAATAGAAACCTGACTGGTGTCCTAATCTCACTGCACTTTCTCCAAAACTAAAATCAGTTGCACTTTAAGCATCTGCAACATTATGGGCCTGCTCATACCTGTTTTGCCTGTGGTGTAACACACATTGTAATGCACATCATTTTACTCCAGGAGGAAAAACAGAATTATTCTGGACAGTATATAGAGATCTGCAGTATGCCTTTCTAAAACAAGGATGGCTATATACCTATATGATGTGATGCGACAGATATGAGCATTGCTTGCCGGCATCAAGCCATATAGGTGTGTTCTATAAACATCAATAATAAATGTTTCCAAGTGTATACATGCCCTTTATATATAAAACAAAGCTGACTTGCCATAGCATGTGCATGATCTCGCCTGTCAGCAGAGTCCGGAAGAACACTGTGGAAAGTCCCAGAAGTATGGCTGAAGATTGGAAGATGTCTCACCAGCCATCCTACTCACTGAGACATCCGTCTGTGGAAGGAGTAAGAGAGTGGGTTGGGTAATGCACCACCTCTTGCTCGTGGGGCAATTATGTGGATTGTTTCCATGTCTGGTCAATTTATTGGATCAGGTTGTGTCTGTGACCGGTACACTTTGCTTTAACTTTTATGATCCTATGTTTTGTCCTACATAGATCCAGTGAGAGATCTGGTGGGCAAGATGCAGCATCACATCCCATCATTCCGAGGCGTTAAATTTTCCGATACTGACTTGATGGACTTCAGCCTGTGCGTCCAGGAGTATCATCAGCATGATTTTCTCTACGGTGTAGATGAGGTGTGTATTTTGTTTTTGTTGTGTTCTCTTCTTTTGTTGGTGTTTTTTCTAAGGTTATTTTTATGTAGATGGATGGTGGCTTTTATGTAGATGGATGATGGCTTTTATGTAGATGGTGGCTTTTGTAACTTTTTTGTTTTATGTTTTGTTTCATACAGCAACTCTTAGGAGGTCTAGCGTTTGGTGCACATGGGGCAGTAGGCAGGTAAACAAAATGTTATTGTTATGGTATGAAAGCAATGTCAAACAAGGAGCAAGCCTCATATTTGCATAACCATTGATAATTATTTGGTTGCAGATTCTAACCCAAACATTTTTGGCTGAAGTTATTCAGAGTAAACCTCTTTCGCTAGAACACTGGCTTCACAGGCAATCAGGAAGCTGGGTGACGGGTTATGATCTGCCGCCCGACTTCTTGATAATCGGGGCACAAGGCACCGGTACTCGGTATTGGCAAGTACAGGAAAAAAAAAATATCGGTACTCGATAAACCGGTATCGGTGCGTCCCTAACTAAAATTACATTTATTCAGCTACAAAAGGCAGTAAAAAATGTATTTATGAACAACAACATATTGGTGAACACAAAGAAACAGCAGTATGTCTAAAAAGAACCATGACGGCCCTATGAAAGCAATTGAAAACCCAGTCCAAATTTCAGAACACGCCACTTCTAGTCCATTTTGAAAGCAAAAGCCTTTAGTAAATCAATCCCATTGTGTCATGGCTGGGTCATGGTCACACTGCAATGTATAAGCCAAGTGCTTTCTATTGTTTCTTTGTATTGAGTACTTTTCACATTTTGTTCTTTTGTCTGTAAAGTTTACACACCTCGCTAATATTACCCTGCCTCCACTCCACTTGGGTGAAGGTCTCCTCTATCCAGTACATGATGTTCATGTTCAAACCTTTAGAGATGTGTAATCTGTAAGCTAGAATAAGGAAGTGACTTTAGTTGCTTGAGCATCTGTTTATTACTTTCTGAGCTTTCTGTTCAGTAACAACAAAATAATGGCCATCTCTCAACAGTACCTACAACTACTTGGGTTCTACCACTAATAAAATGTTGGCGGCATTTGAAAAGGGCGATTTACAAAAAGCCCGGGAAATTCAGGTACTTTACTTTTTATATTAGTTATGCTCGCAGTAGCATGAAACTTATCCTGAATTGCTTGCTAACCTGTACTTCCTTTTGTTTTCACAGTGTAAAGTACAGGAATTTGTGGCCTTTGTTTTTGCCTTGGGTAAGTCATTTTAAGGGTGTTCTCATTTAGAACCGGTGCCTAATATTTTTCAGCTGTTTCTGCCGATATTTTAGAAGCAAATGTTGGCACCTTAAAGTGAATACAGGGGCTGACTTTTCCTATAAAATTCAAGTTGCTTGGCTGTTATGCCAACCCACTGGCTTACTACTCTCTGAGCCACTGACCTGTATTAATTTAGGCTGGGTTCACACCTAGGCGTATTGAATATGCGTGTTTTATTTTGCGCGGTTCGCGTCGCGCCTTTTTACCGCGATTCGCTGTATCCCAATGGAAACGCCAGACCAAAACGCCCCAAAGAAGTACATGTACTTCTTTGGGCGTAGGCCGTTTTGTATCGCGTTCGGACGGGCGGAAATACGGCAAGGTGTGAACCAGACCCATTGAATACAATGGGATTTAGATGTTTGAGCGTTTTGTAGAGCGTTCGTCGAGCGTTGAACGCGCTACAAAACGTTCGGGTGTGAACCAGGCTTGATACATGTTTTATTGTATTAGATGTGTATGATTATTAGCTCGGCACAATATTGTTTTTTGACCTGAAATGTAAATGCAGATAATGAAATTTGGAAGTCCTTATAAGTGAAAGTACTAAAGCAAAAGGGTTGCAGAGCCAAACATGCTGGTTTGTGCTGCACATACATGCCGTTTCAGGCTTGTTCACACCATGTCCATGTCCCAATGCTTGTAAACGCATGCAAACGCACCGGGCCACACCTGAAAGCCCATTTTAAACTAAACAAAATGTCCGTAGAGCAGCAAAATCGCGGTAAAAACATGGCAAAACGCAATGCACCGCATTCCAGATCTGGTGTTAACCTGGCCCAAAAGTGACTCTAAAGCTGCCCATACCTGCCTGTGGCCCGTACACAAAAATAACTGATTCATTCATCCACGCTAAACAGTGTGGCTGGATAAATCTCCCGCTGAGTGCTTTGTATTCTATTGTATTTGGGTGTGCCGCTGTCATAATACCCAAACAGTGATGGCAACTGAGTGACTCCTTCGATTTTCTGATCAAAGGATGCTGGATAGAAGGGTGCCAACAGGGCCATCCACTGGACAAATTTCTGCCCGTTCATCAATGTAGCCGCTTCTTCAAAAAATTCTACTTGCCTGGCATCAATACGCTGAGAACTAAAAGCTACAACATTCATGCTGTAAAGTGAGTGTCAGAATTAATTATCTCTATACTTGATCCAGGTCTGCCACTCTGAATTAAAGCCACGTGACTAGCATTTTTTGGAAGGTATGAACAGCAAATGCTGCAGTCATGATTTTCTCATGACAGATTTTCTTTAAAAACACTGAGAGGAATTTATCAAAACTGGAGCAGACAAAATCTGGAGCAGTTGCCCATGATAACCCATCAGCTTCTCTCAGCAGTTTGTTCAGTTAAGATTTGTAAATGAAAGGGAGAAGCTGATTGGTTGCCATGCACAGCTGCTCCAGATTTTGTCTGCTCCAGTTTTGATAAAACTCCCCCAATGTGTGTACATAGGCGTCTGTGAGGTGCCTCACCCCCAACAGGGTTCCTATGCAGTGCTCTCCCTAGGCCTGCTTAGCAAAGCCAATAAAACAATTGGTGCTCCAACATCATTGCCCACGTAGAGCTGTAGGCAGTGATACTTCTCCCTGTGCCAAACAACGTGGAAACGTTTAAGCCTATTCATTATACAGTGCAAAGGGTAGCAAGCCAAAACAAAATAGGAAATTGCTTTGATGAAGTCAGACCATTACCATGTTTGATTGTATTGGTTTTCTTTGCAGGCTGGGGTTTACCAGATTTTAAACACATAATGTCTCTGGTATCCGGAATAGATTTGGGCCCACCGCGTCCACCTCTGATGGTGTGTTGGAAAGCGGAGCACCCTGAAAATGTTAGAGCAGAGCTGAAGAGACTTGGTCTAATGTGAAGATGATTATAACAGTGGGCAAGGAGGAACTTGAAGAAGTCACAGAGACCCAGACCCATCAGTATTACATGTAGGGTACAGGAAAGCTCTGTATAACACAAATTTAACACTTGTATTTAAAGGGTCAGGCCATCCAAAAGTCATATTTGTGGTGCGCTGAATCACTCTATGCCTTGTGAGATCTCTTAATTCCAGTAGTGAATGCTCCTATTGGAATTTCTGGTTCTCACAAGATAATCACTCCTGATGTCTCTGGAAGAGTCCTGATCCTTCTTATGCATTTTCAATATACTTTTAAACATCCGTCCAAGAGAGAGATTACAGCCATGAGAGCCCTGCCGTGACAGGGGAGGGGATGGATTCCCCGCTCCGATCTGCCAGCGCTGACTGGCGGGACGGACGGGGTGGGTACAGCTGGCTCTGCCTCTAGATAGGCAGAGCCAGCTGTCACTCACGCAGCTGGGCGGATCTCGACATCGATGTCGGGATCTGCTGCGGCGTCTCAGTATACTGCGAGCTGTAGCTCGCGGTATACTGAGCTTAGGGTGACGGGAGGACGCCAGTTTGTGTCCTCCGGTTACCCTAAGGAGAACAATGGAGAAAAGCCCTGACCCCATAGTTCTCCTTTAAAGTGAAACTCCAGGCAAATGAAAGGTGAAATACCTCTGTGTACTATTTGACTCGTCAAAGGATTTGTTATTCTTTGCAACCAGTCTTCTAATTTACACACATTTTACACACTGTACAACTGGAAAGGTGACGTACATAGTTTCTAATTATGCAACTCAGATTTTTGTTTCATCAGCTCAACTTGCTGTTGCCTCTCCACCTCCATCCCTCCTTACTGCACAATAGGTAGACATCATCACCTTTGTCCGGTGAATAATAATGGTTCTAACCTCTGTTTTTATAACAAACTCTATAAAATGTCAATGGCATCTGATACATACCAGCCTTATTTTTGTTGGCTTGGTTTTATAGAATAATTTAGGACTGGGTGACTCCCAGGTGCCAGGTAGTTTGAGCACCTAAAAATGACAGGAAGTGGTTACTCCTTTTTGTTATCACTGCAAGTCCTCGTTCACACACTTTACCACCCCTCTGAAAAGTGAACCACGATAGTTCGCTTTTCAGAGGCAGTTTAGTAGCAGTTTGCAGGTGTTCAGGAGGCTATACTACTTCCTAAATGCCTGTTTCTTTTTCCGATCCCAAGTGGGATTAAACATTGAAATACCGCAACCATGTGGCATGTGTTTAACACGTGGTTGTGATGCTGCCCTATTGACTTCAATGGACAAATTTGGTAATCGGCTCCACCTGCCAAACGTGACATGCCAATAAGGTCATGGCTGCGATGCCGCAAAAGCATCGCAGCCATGACCGTGTATACGGACTTATGTATGATCAGAGATATAACAGCAGCAATGGCTGACTGGTGCTTGCTTTGGAGTTGTTATCCTGAAGCTGAATGATGGGAAGAACAACAACTGTAGATTAGGGTGTACTTAGTCGAACAAAGTCCTATAAACAAGCTTGAAGAAAGAAAATCTATTTTTACCTAGAGTGACCAATCACATCTTCCCTTTCCCATTTGTATTGCATTATGGGAAAATAAGTAGAAGTATCTGACTTGCTGATATAGCATATATTAAGAAATTTCCGTTCACTTTTACACACAGGCCCTATAATAGAATTCAAGGCTTCCATTTGTAGTATTCTCCTTAGCTGTCATGCTGATCCTAATGCTCCATAGTATTCTGCATCTCTGTGCAGCTTAGGAGTTAAGAATTTGCACACTGCAGGGTTTCTTCTGGATCAATGCTTGAAATACGGAATCTTGGGGGTCAGCATGACAAGATTAAAGTAGTATTAAACTCTCAATTTTTATATATATATATACACACACACACACACACACACACACACATTGTCCAGCAAAGTATTTCTTTATGTTGTTGCCCGAACACTTACAATCATCATGGTTCGGAACAGCTCCAACTCTCTCAGCTCAGCTTCCCTGAACTTCCTGACCAGTAGAAAATCACAATGGACAGCAAAGTTTGCAGCAGCTGTCCATTTACTAGCTTGGAGAAGGGTGAAGGAATGAGCAGGGAGGAGAAGAGTGGTTTGCCTTTCTGTGCCGGTGTGTTTGTGGAGACACTCAGCTTACTAGCACACTCAAGGGTGACTCCATATGACCCTGCAAGCGAAAGGAGCCACCCTAAATTAGGATATATGGTTCAGTGCTCAGGGGATCACAAAATTCTGCCGGAAACTAAAACTTTTAAACATCAAGGAGCAGCATCCATTGTAAGTGGTTTAATCAGTATTTGGAAATTGCCTAAAAACCTTTTGAATTTAATATCACTTTAAGGTGAGCAGTGGCAGCCCATGTGTTTGTCATGGGAAAGGCAAGGGAACAAAGGACATTTACCAGTTTATTTTACTGTGTTTTGTTGATGTAAATTTATTTCAAGAGCTCAGGGTCCTGTCAGAGTCTTTTCTTTTATATGGATGAGCATTTATATTTCACAGTAACGAGCACTAAAGTGGGATTTTTTATATGTTGCACATAAATTGTTCACACTAATGTCTAATAAACCGTTTTCTAACTTTACAGTTACATGTCTCTTTGATTTTGTTTGTTCCATTTTGTCTGACCATTTATACTGGTTAAAGTAGTATTAAGCGCTCAAACCTTTGCCTTTCATAATGTCAGCTCTTCCATTGCTTTTTCATCCAACCTGAGTCTGGTATTTCTAAATAGGAGGTCTGACAAAGCATGACACAACTAAGGTCTAGTATGTATTGTATGTGTTGTCCATAACATGTCAGGTGACAAATGGCACTGCCACCACAGGCTGCACTAGAAATCCCAGAGCATGGGGATGGTAAAACCCAAACCTACACTCACCGGCCACTTTATTAGGTACACCTTGCTAGTACCGAGTTGGATCCCCTTTTGCCTTCAGAACTGCTTTAATTCTTTGTGGCATTGATTCACCAAGGTGTTGGAAACATTCATCAGGGATTTTAGGCCATATTGACACGATAGCATTACACAGTTGCTGCAGATTTGTCGGCTGCACATCCATGATGCGAATCTCCCATTCCACCACATCCCAAAGGTGCTCTATAGGATTAAGATCTGGTGACTGTGGAGGCCATTGGAGTACAGTGAACTCATTGTCATGTTCAAGAAAGCAGTTTGAGATGATGTGAGCTTTGTGACATGGTGCATTATCCTGCTAGAAGTAGCCATCAGAAGATTGATGGACATGATCAGCAACAATACTCATTTAGGTAGTGGGCTTTAAAGGAGAACTATGAGATGAGTGATTTCCACTCACCTCATAGTTCTAGCCGACCTGTGACAATGAGACTGTCACAGGTCGGCTCAGTAGATCGGGAGGTGAGCGAACACATACCAGGTTCGCTCACCTCTTGATCCTGTCACGGCTCTCTGCCATGACAGGGAGAGGGGCTGGATTCCCCGCTCCGATCTGCCAGCGCTGACTGGCGGAACGGACGGGGGAGGGGGCGGGTACAGCTGGCTCTGCCTCTAGATAGGCAGAGCCAGCTGTCACTCACGCAGCTGGGCGGATCCC